CCCGTTTGTTATATAAGTTGATGCAGAGGTCACGTTTGACTATGGAACACCCTTTTCGGTGAAAGGAGACAAAACAATTGAGTTTATGGTCGTGAGTAGGACAACTTTTTGTTAAGGCATATGGCTCAATTATTCGGTACTCGGTCTGAAATGCCATCAGTGTGCTACGTAGCGGGAAAAGAACGAAATGACGAAGTGAAACGGTCAAATACTGGCTAAAGAAGCTTTTGTTCTCAAAGACTCAAGAAGCAATTTCAGACGAGTTTTCCGTATGAAGCAGGAAACACCATGAAAATTAACCTTTCTTAAGACATTAGGCAAATACGCCCCCCCCCCTCCCTTTACAGCTCCCCGAAACAAGAAAAATCAATCATCAAAAACGTTTTTTCTCGGACGTGTACGACCCTCTCCCCTTCACAGCGACCACCAAATACGACCTTCCTGTTGGGAACTCCCTAGCGATTATACCCAGGGCCGACAAATGAAACGTTCCACCCAAAAACTTCGAAAGGCACAGCATAACATACTGAATAAAACGAAAAACTAGCATGCCGCGCTTACAGAGAGGAGTTGGAAAACCTCACAATCAGGCCAGAGTTGTGGGGCAACTTCTACATATGACCTTCACGGTCCCTTCCGCTTAAGACGTCCGCATTGTCCTCGCCATTCACTATGGAACCACGAAAGTGGGACAAGTTCCAAAACCACGGACTGTGCTACTTTGTAAGGAGAGGACTCTACTCGGGTCTATAAAAAAGTGCGGATCAATCTACAGCGGACAACAAAGTCTCAGTCTAATGGAGAATAGACTCGCACTAAAGACGTATGTAGTAGAGAAGCATAACGTTTCTAAAACGGTACAAAACAGAGTAAATCATTTTCAAACCTATTGGAATCATGCCCATTCTCTTTCGGTAAACTTGAGTCTCTCACAGGCTCATACGTCGTGCCGTTTGCCGTCTTGCCGTTCGATAATGCGGAGGCCATTATCGCTGGCCTAATATGTACAAAAGCGAATCGACCGCATAGAAAGTTTTTTTCCAGATTGAAGAAAAAGTGGGTGAAAGCAAATAAGAAATAATCTCTACACGTACTTTTTCTCTTTCCACAGCATTCGCAATAATGACCTTTTCTTTCGCCTTCGTGCTGTCTCGTGCACCACGTCCGCCCTTACGATTCACAGCAGCGCATGTCGTCGTCGCCACCGACGCTCGCAGCTGCTTACTAACGTCACCGTTGCTCGAACGAGACAACTAAATACGAGTATTTGATAAGAGAGCTGGACCAGCTGTAAAAAGTTCAATTCAGTTCTCTTCAAAGCGTCTGCCCATCAAATAAGTGCAAAACCGTAGGCTAGTAATCCCGTCCATCATAATTGAGTTTTAATTATTCGAAACTGCACTATATTATGTAGAAAATTCTTATGCTGACTGCTTCCATTATCTAAAATTTCTTTTCAGATGAAGAAAAGGGAATCAAAGTGAAAAAACGAAATACGAAATTCAGTGAACAACTACCTTCTTTGCATTCTCTTCTGGTATACTGTAATCGTCATCGTCATCACCACCGTAGCTAGAGTCGTCACGAACGTCGTCTCCCGATGATGGCCATACCACCGTTGTCAACCACACGAACGCTTCCCAAGCCAAACGCACCACGGACAAGCCTCCTGACGAAGTCATCGAATCCGAGTCACGCCAACACAACTCGCCTAAATAATTCAGCTGTATTTCTCAAAATTTCAGATTATATCTGCAGAAAAATATTATAAACGATTTTTTGTTTAGCTAAAACTGCTAAGCAAAAAAATTAAAAGCGCTGTAAAGTCAACGATCAAACTTGTGCTGTAAGAGAAACAATTACAGAGAACACAAAACCACACACTTCAGCCTAGATCCCGCGAACTGCACTTGAGCACAGTGCGCGTCAGTTGCAAACCTATGTTCACTTAATGACTTTCCTGGGGAAGAAAAAGTAGAAAAAAATGGACATCCCAAATAAGAGCCCCTGAGAAGCTTCATGCTCGAGTTCCTGCTCGTTTTATGCCACCAAACTGATATCCTCCCGCCTCTGGCTCGGTAATCGTTTCTTCGCATCATCCAATGCTAGTCCTAACTAATATTGAAAAAAGGGAAAACAGAGCAAAAACTGTGTGCGTGACAAAAAAACTTTGTGTTCTGGTGGGCGGGACAACTGGGGAGTTGTCAAAACTGTCACTTATGAAGGCACAGCGCCTTCGTTGCTTACTGAGGACCAGACTGCTCGAACAAGGAAGGACGACTATGAATTAGTTGAGCGCGGGGGCTGTCTTTAAGCGGACTTCCTGCGCTTACCATGGTCTCTGACCAAAAAAGTGAGGAGGAGAAATTAAGGACGTTAAATGTGTACAACTTAACACAAAGATCCCAGTGAGCTGCGAAAAAAAAGCGCTTTCATTCCACTCCCCGTAAAAACAAACACCTCCCAGACTAGTTTCCTCCCACTGACAAGACGTTATTTCCTTCTGTGCGGGGAGGTATTTGAAAAAAGGGGAAAAGCTTAGTTTTCAGAGGAGATTCTTCACAAACAGCATGGCAAGCTTTCTCTTTCCCAAAATTTCTTATCCAAGACAAATATCGATTAGCAAATAGACAATGGAAACCGGATAATGTGCACGGGTTCACCACATACCTTCACTTTCTTCATCGTCTTCTCGATCACGTCGTTTCTCTCCAGCTCCACCAGTAGCCGATACTGCACCACCTGTCTTTATTAATGGTGTCGTGTTCTGACTGTGCGAAGCGGCGATCGCTGCTGCTGCTTTCGTTCGACCTGATCCACGTTGTCGCCCACCCAGAGGTGCCACCTTGAAAAAACGAATTCCAGGAATTCTCATCGAAATTTCAAGAAAATAAAAGCAAAACGGAAAGTTCGCAGCTACCCAAAAAACCCTCAGCTGACAACAAAGAGAATAAATCGGTAAACCGCAGAGGAGTAAGCTTATCCGTACTATAACGGATCTGATATTGAAAAAAAGTGTCAACTGCAGAACTACGCCAAATAAAGGAAAAACAGGAGAGGAAACAATCAACAAAAAACCTCACCTTGCCTGATGCCCGCTTTGCAGGATGGTGAACAGTTCCGTTTGCAGCGGACGTCGGCGGCGGTGGCATCAACATACCCTGCCCTGCACCATTAGTTAACTCCAGCAGATCGCCTTCTGCAATGCAAAAATTATTATTTATAAACAAAAGTGATGCCATCGCCCTTGTTTTTCTATGCAAATGACTGGGAATGAAATTTGCTGAAAATACCGCAAAACATGCAATAGGAATCACCAGATTGAGTTTCATGGGGAGATGCCACTACAGGTGCAGGACGTTTCCGAGAAAAAAAAAACTCAGAAACCGTTTAGACCTGGAAAACGAATCCAAAAGGATAAGAAGCCATACTTTGCGGCAGCCCAGCGGTCACCAGCAACCTCCAGTGTCCAGGAGAGAGTATGGGGAAGTAGGAGGGTAGCATACAGCTGAATTGGGCGCGCACGCCGCAATTTCGCGACGCCTATTTCCGCTGTCTGCTATCCGCCTACTTCCCCATACTCTCTATTCCTGGACGATAGTGGACGCTAGCAAAAGATGGCCGCTCGCTAGATCAATACCTATAGTTCTCTAGTCCCTCGAGACGCTGGAACGAAGATCATGGGAAGCTGTATGAGATTTCGAGACAAGAGAATAAGAATGGATACCATGAATTGGAAAATTTGAGAACTAATGCGCATGCTGAACACGACGGCTCTCCCCTCAGAACCCTTCCGCCTCTTTGCCGTTATTTGATCTGAGGTAGGCGTGGATGGTTACTGAACAGATTTCAAATCACAGGGCACACAGATGTGCCATCTCCTTGCAGATTTCTAGGGCGTGCCTCGCCAGTTCTGAGCAGCGGTACTGCGCTCACACTAGCAGAGTATTACCTGGCTAGCTGATCCTGCATAGAGCAACACTGCCACGTTCAAGCGATCGATTCCTGGTATGAAAGCAAGGAAGTCCTGATTGCAGAGCCTCTTTGCCACACCTGCCACATTAACTATGGACACACCCTAATACCCCGTCCCCTTCCCCACGACGAAGGACGTAGTACAACTTCTCAAGAAGACTTGAAAGAGGACTTCTCGAGAAGTAAAGAGATCTGTTGGACGGCGAGCGGGGATGGTGGAGAGGGCAAGCAGCACCAGATTACAACCCGCGCGGTCCGGAAGCCCCTGACTTGTTTCAAGCCAGATCCAACCAAATCCAGTCCAACCAAATATTCCACTCCTCCGGGGCTGGCAATCGATCGGTAACTGATTTATTTGGAAAGGACTTTACTTGTACATCGGCTGGGTCCGCAATTCATAGTATAGACCATATAGGATTCAATATGCGTTTTTGAACGGTGAAAAGAGGACCGTTCAAAAGGATCCCTTCTTTGACGACCAGAACACTTTCTCACTGGAAAGAAGGGGCACACGTGGTGACGTAGTTCTTCCAGGCGTGCTGCTATGGGACATGAGCCAAGTAAAAAATGTAAATGTGTTGCGTTGCAAAGTGAATACACATGGTCCCGTTCCTGGCAAACGACCTCAGCAACTATGTCCATTATAGCTTTGCAAAGCATCTGCCACATTTACTTTACAAAAAATGTCACGCTGTTTCGTGGAGCCTATCACCAAAAGAAACAGCAAATGCTCATAAATGCAGCAAGACAACCTTTGAAGTAAGGAAGTACACAAATTAAGTGGCTTAATCACGACCAAGGCATGGCGTGCGTTAGAAGTCCTCAGCGAAAGGGAGAGAGGGGGGGGGTCACATTTGATCGTTGGATGGAGGGGCAAATTTCGAACTTGCTCTGAAGGAAAATGTTTTTAATAGCGCATTTGGGAATATGGGAATATGGTAGGAAGGATGAGGTAAGGGGAAGGTGGGGTGAGAAAGGGGGGGGGGGGGAAAGAGGGGCCGTACCAGAGGTGGATTTCTGAGGACGGGTCGCATTTTGCAATTTTCCCCCCGACGGCAGGACATGCCCTAATCACGATATGTACACTATGCGGTTCTGTATTTATGCAAAAGAAAACAGCGGCCAAGGCTTTTAAACGTTAATATTGATACTAAATTCAACCACCCTTCCTCGGCCAATCCATAAAAATGCCAATATAAAGCTTTCCATGCCTCCACGGCAAGGAGAGGACCAAGAAAGTGTGTAATTTATTTCTTAGTGTTCCCAGGAA